AACTTGCATTTGGATCTTTGCATCCTTGTGACAGAACGAACCGACCATATGATGGATCCAGCAAGTGCGGCAGAATTGCATGACGTATTGGTCAAGAGTGATGCTCGTCTTCAGCAACAGGAACTAGCAACAGCAACAGGCGGCTAATCCACCGGCTCCAGTGATCCAGACCATCCGTTCCACTGAACCTTTTTCAAGATGTCATTCCACCCATGCGTTTCTGGATGCGGCCGTTCCCTGTCCCCCTCTGACGGTCACAATTGTTGCATCACATTTTTGGGCTTACAGCACGCTGAGGCAGCTTTTCAGGGTCGAGCATATCAGTACAAAGATTTGTATCTTCAACATTTCAGCCGGTTGGGTCTTCAGGTCAACTGGGAAAAGAGCAAACTCACACCCGTGCAGAGGATCTCTTTTCTCGGTATGGAGCTGGATTCGGTCCAACTCACGGCACGTCTCACAGAGGAACGTGTCCGGTCGGTGCTGAACTGCCTGAATACTGTCAAGAGCAGAACAGTGGTCCTACTGAAACTTTTTCAGAGGCTCCTGGGGCATATGGCAGCCGCAGCCGAAGTATCGCCGCTCGGCTTGCTGCCGCTACTTGGCAAGCATGTACTGGTCTGTTCAGACAGCACTGCGACCGTCGCGTACATCAACCATCAAGGTGGTCTACGCTCCCGTCGTATGTCACATCCTCCTATGGAGTCAGAAGTATCTGAGGTCGCTTCGCGCCACTTATATTCCTGGCCTGCTCAATCGTGCCGTCGACGAGCTCTCACGACAGCTTGTGGCCAAGGGAGAGTGGAGACTCCATCCCCAGGTGGTCCAGCTGATCTAGGACTACTTCGGGGCCGCACAGATAGATCTGTTTGCCTCTCCGGACTCGTCCCATTGCCAGTTGTTTTACTCCCTGACCGGGGGTACCCTCGGCTCGGATGCACTGGCACACAGCTGGCCTCGGGGCCTCCGCAAGTATGCGTTTCCCCCAGTGAGCCATATTGCACAGCTTCTGCGCAAAGTCAGGGAGGAAGAGGAGCAGGTCTTGCTAGTTGCCCCTTATTGGCCCAACCGGACCTGGTTCTCCGAACTGGTGTTCCCCTCAACAGCCCCTCCCTGGCCCATTCCTCTGAGGGAGGACCTTCTCTCTCAGGGATGGGGCACCGTAAGGCACCCGCGTCCAGACCTCTGGAAACTCCATGTCTGGTCCCTGGACGGGACGCGGATGTTCTAGGTGGGCTACCTCAGTCTGTCGTAGACACCATAGCTTCTGCGAAAGCACCCTCTACGAGGCATGCTTACGCGTTGAAGTGGAACCTGTTCGTTGAGTGGTATTCTTCTCACCGAGGAAGACCCCCGAAGGTGTTCGATCGGTTCCGTGCTTTCTTTCCAGCAAGATGGGTTGGAGAGAGGGCTGTCTCCCTCCACCCTCAAAGTGTTTGTTGCCTCTATTGCCGCACATCACGATGCAGTGGATGGGAGATCCGTGGGAAAGCACAACCTGGTCGTCAGGTTCCTGAGGGGAGCGAGGAGACTGAATCCGCCTCGCCCCCCCTCTATACCCTCTTGGGACCTTTCTCTGGTGCTGTCCGCACTGCAGAGACCTTTGAGCCTCTGCAGGCAGTTGAGTTAAAAATTCTGTCTTTAAAAACAGTTATTTTGCTTGCTTTGGCTTCCATTAAGAGGGTAGGGGACCTGCACGCTTTTTCGGTCGACGAATCGTGCCTGGAATTCGGGCCGGCTAACTCTCACGTTGTTCTGAGACCCCGGCCTGCATATGTGCCAAAGGTTCCTACCACTCCCTTCCGGGATCAGGTAGTGAACCTGCAAGCGCTGCCCCTGGAGGAGGCAGACCCAGCCCTGGCTTTTCTCTGTCCCGTCCGCTCCTTGCGGTGTTACGTGGACAGAACGCAAAGCCTCAGGACCTCAAACCAGCTCTTCGTCTGTTACGGAGGCCAGCAGAAGGGAAAGCCTGTCTCCAAGCAGAGGTTGGCCCACTGGATAGTGGATGCCATCATCTTGGCGTATGACTCCCAAGGTGAACCTTCTCCCCCTGGGCTGCGAGCTCATTCCACTCGGAGTGTAGCCGCTTCCTGGGCGTTAGTGCAGGGTGCCTCGCTGACGGATGTTTGTAGAGCTGCGGGCTGGGCGACACCTAACACGTTCGCTAGATTCTATAGCCTACATGTCGAGTCAGTTGCTTCCCGTGTGCTCTTTTCACATTGAAGCCAGTCAACACTGTAGCCCTGCTCGAAGTGTCGGCTTGCTGCACCACTCCCCTCTTATGGACTGGATATGTGCGCCATTTTTGCTCAAGTTGAGTTCCCTTCCGAACCCTGTTGAGTTCCTCCACACCCCCTGCGGCATTGGACGTGGCGGAGCGTCCGATGCTAGGCCTACCACTTGTATGCTTGGTGGAACTTGTGCTAGGCTGGGTCCATATGTTGTGATCCCTACGGCGATCCCATACGTGTTTTCTTCAATGGTACGGCTCCCTGGGGTGAGTCCGTGTCTTTCCCTTGGCAGAGTTCTTCTGCCGTCACTGGCTCGGATGAGCTCCCCCCTGTTTTAGGCTGGAGCCACCCCAGTGGCATTACATATGTTGTACTGCCCGGTCTTCCGCCCAGTTAATATGTGTATTCTCCACATGTTACCTCCCTTCGGGCAGGATGTGACTTCGCAGCGTCCCTCCTTCCTTTATTAGGGCACGCTTCCCAGTGTTCCAAGTCTAACTGAATGGGTCTTGCGGAACAGCAGTGACTTTCCTGGCCTAAGCCCTGTCCCTTCCCCGCCTAATTGCCCTTCAGGGAACGAGGGTTACATTCGTAACCGAGACGTTTCTGTTTGTTGGTGTGGGTTTGTGGGTGTGTACTACCTGTTTGTTGCTTAGCACCAGCTGATCACTTATCAGCCTTCAGCTGTAACTAATCATTATGCTTGTTAGCTGTCTTTATATCGCTGGAGTTGTTTGTGCTTGGTGTCGGTTCATCACTCTTGTTTGTGTCTCTAACACAATTCCTGTGTCCTAGTCTCCGTGCGGAGTTTATGTCTTTGTTTCCTGCGCATCCAGCCATTTGGGGGATCGCCTGAGTCCTTTCACCTGCCTTCGAGCTAGCCTTCACTGGGGATTCCCCGTCTCACGTCTCCAGTCGGAGTGTTGTCTTCCAGGTCGCCCGCCTGCTAAACGTGGTGTTTTGAGTACTCTCCTGTTCTGTCTGTCTACAATAAACTACTTAACTTGCATTTGGATCTACGACTCATCCTTGTGACAGTTTAGGCCCCTATTTATGTAGAAGTAAATGTGTGCAAGTGTGTGTGTGTGTGTGTGTGTGTGTGTGTGTGTGTGTGTCATGTCATGCCACATGATTTTGGATTTAGGACATTAGGCTACTTTGAGTTCGATCTTCATTCTCCTTAGCCATTTTGTTACATTTGTGTCAGGGCCTTGGGTCACTATACCAATTATTTCCCACCCTTATTGAACCTACATTAATTATTTTTGGTAATTAAAAATAATAATTAAAACGTTGTTTTTTCTACTTCACACAATTTCCCATAAATGTGAACCTGATCTATCTAATAATATAATAAAAATAATAGTAATAAAGAAAAATGCACTAATTATATCATCCAAACATTGTCTTTATTATGAAGTGGGTTTTTGGTAAAGAATATATATAAAACAGTTGTCATGAAACTGCACAAGGAATATGGACAGAGGTGATCCAAACGCAGGCTTTAATGAGAGGAAGATCCAGGGACAGGTACACATGCAGGGGTCAAAACCAGGTAAGCAGTCCAGATCAGCAAACATATAATGCAAGGATAAGGCAAACGGGAAGACCAGATACAGGCAGGGAGTCCAGGAACCATGAAACTAGGAAACACTAAGGCCCTGTCCACACGGACACGGGTATTTTTATAACCGTGACTTTTTTTACGCGGTTCGGCCGTTCGTCCACACGAAAACGCACTGAAACCGAACATTTTTGAAAACCCCTGCCAGGGTGAGGATTTTCAGAAACGCCGGTTACAGTGTTGTCGTGTAGACAGTGAAACCGGGGTTTTTGCCTTGCGACGTCAGAGTTTGCGCCGTTATCCGCTGTGTTTGACGTCAGATTTGCGCTTCTGATTGGCCAACGTGGCTTTACGGTTAAGGTTTATATCGCCGCCTGCTGGCATGGCATGCTCTTGACCGCGCTTGATAGCGTGTTTTTACGTTTTCATGTAGGCGGAGACCGAGCATGTGTGGACGGGATTTTTTTTTAAAACGCTGTAGGAAAAACTCTGGTTATAAAAATACCCGTGTCCGTGTGGACAAGGCCTAAGGAACTAGGAAAACGCTTGGGATGCAGTATGACACTTACAATACTGAGCAATGAACCAAGGGAAAACTCAGGCTTAAGACAGGTGCGCTAAACAAGATAATCAAACACAGGTGCATGAAATCAACCATAATCAGTCCAGGGTATAACCTAAAGGAAACCATAAACTAGGAAGGAGTGCCCCCCAGCGGCTCAAGCAGACACTCCAGCCGCAGATCGTCACAACAGTCACATGGGTCAATTTTTGAAATTGAGATTTATACATCATCTGAAAGCTGAATAAATAAGCTTTCCATTGATGTATGCTAGGATAGGACAATATATTTGGCCACTATGCAACTATTTGAAAATCTGGAATCTGAGAAAATCTGGAAAAATCGAAACATTGATAAAATCCCTTTTAAAGTTGTTAATTTATGTTCGCGATTGTGAAGCATTCACTCACAAAAATAAATGTTTTATATATTTACGGTTGGAAATTTACTAAATATCTTTATGGGACATGATATTTACTTAATATACTAATGATTTTTGGCATAAAAGAAAAATAGATAATTTATATATATACATTGTATTCCGTATTACAACAGAGGCTATCCCGGCGGTGGGGTTCACAAAATTTCAAGCAGCAAAGGATGATCTGGTTATATTAGCTAGCTACAGGTTCAGTCTGTTTACCTTTAATTCTGTTTCCACTTTCTTTTCATTTTTGTCCAACTGCAGACTCTCCATCTCAGACCTTCCTGGAATGGTGAACTGTGCGTTGACGGTATTGATGGGGGTTTGTGGTATATTCAGTGCATACTCTGTGAGAGCTTCCAAAGCCACGATAGTATCCTAAAGTGTGTTTGAACAGTATAATTGGTATTCTCATTTTATAATTCCTTCTTCAGATATTCTTTGGCATTAAAATACATACAGTAGGAACCCTGAAAAAAATTAATTCAGTCGCATTAGACTCACCTGTGTTGATTTGAAACCTCCTTCATAGTTCTCTTGTGAAGACAAGAAGCATGCGGCAGCATGTGCTGTTATTAAGTCATTCTGTTCTAGTGCAGTCATGAGAGCGTATGCAGTGGTCTCTACTGTTAATGCCTCATTTACCAGTCGCATATTGAAGTCATCTTTCCACACAAGACATTCTCCCTCTAATTGATTCAGTTAAGCAGTTGAGAAGAAAGCATTTACAGAAATAACATGATGGTTGACTTAAATAGATGAGTCTCTTTAATAAAGTACTTCCATAAACAAGTCAGTAAATGGTATGATACCTGGTTTTGCAAGACTTCTGAGTTTCTTCCAGGCTGAGAGTGCTCGAGTTTGGTCAGTGAGGCAGATAGACAAGCAGTACGCCGTAATGGCTAATGCATAGGGTCTTTTAAGATCACCAGCCCGTATAAGGAGGAAGTCGGTGGCACGATACATACTTTTCTCCTAGTCAGCATTAAAAAGACAATATTTGTTTTCCTTTATTACACCATAGCATTCTTTTATTTGACTCTCTAGCAGGCTGTTTGTCAATCCAGGCTCACTGGAAATATGTGACTGACAACATTTCTGCAAAACACAACCTTGTTGAAGGAAGCTAAAAGATTTGGATTAGAAGCTAAGGAAGGAAGCTAAAAGATTTGCATATCGCGCTCCACCCCACAGAGCGGGTATAAACAGGAAGCGGATGCAAGCACCAGTTGTTTTTCGCTGAGAAGCTGAAGAGGAACCCGGCCTCAGCGGTGGTCCAGCAGTGGTCCAGCGATGGTGGCGACGGGACGTACATCTCTCGTCCCTCCTTCAGAGAACGAGGGTTATATGCGTAACCAAGATGTGGGAGAGGCTGTCGTGAGGAGCATGAGTTCTGGGAACCATGTCCGGTTGTGCCAATAAGGGGCAACTAGCAAATCCTCCTCCCTGACTTTGCACAGTGTCTATGTGAGAAGGCTCACTGGGGGAAACGCATATTTGCGTCGGCCCCGGGGCCAGCTGTGTGCCAGCGAATCTGTGCCTATAGGGTCCCCTCGTTCAGGGAGTAGAACAACTGGAAATGGGACGAGTCTGGAGAGGCAAACAGGTCTACCTGTGCAGCTTCAAAGTTGTCCCATATCAGCTGGACCGCCTGGCAATGGAGTCTGCACTCTTCAGAAACCACAGGCTATCGTAAGAGCTTGTCGGCTGCACGATTGAGAAGGCCCGGAATGTAAGTGGCACGAAGCGACCTCAGATGCTGCTGACTCCATAGGAGGAGATTGAGTTGCAACATGGGGAGCATATACCACCTTGATTGTTGATGTTCACAATGGTCAAGGTGTTTTCTGTACGGACCAATTGGTGCTTGCCAAATAGCGGCTTTTTGAGGCAGCCCAGCACAAGGCGTACTGCTAACAGCTTGAGGCAGTTGATGTGCCAAAGCAGTCGGGGGCCCGTCCAGATCTCCACAACTGCATGCCCGTTGTACGTGGCCCCCCAACTGGTGGTGGAGGCATCCGTTGTGACCACCGAATGCCTGTACTCTTGTTCTAGGGGAACTCCTGCCCATAGAAATAAAGGGTCTGACCACGGGCTGAGGGTTTGGCGGCAGGCCAGTGAGATTGTCACAAGGAGCATGCCACTCGGCCATGCCCATTTCGGGACTCGGCAGTGAAACAAGTGCTGAAGGGGCCTCATATGGAGCAACCCGGGAGGGGTTACTGTGACTGCCATATGCCCCAGGAGCCTCTGAAAATGTTTCAGTGGGCCGCTGTCCTGCTCTGGGGTGTATTCAAGCATTTTAACACTGACCAAACAGGTTCCTCTGTGAAGCGTGCTGTCCGGTTGACCGAGTCCAACTCCATTTTACTCTTTCCCCAGTTGACCCCAAGTCCCAACTGGTTAAGTTGACTGAGCACCATGTCCCTGTGTTCGCACAACTATTCCCGAGACTGAGCTAGTATCAGCCAATCGTCGAGGTAGTTGAGGATGCGAACACCACACTCTCTCATGGGAGCAATAGCCATCTCCACGACCTTCGTAAAGACAGCACGAAGGGTATGACTTTTTACTAATACACTCGGCCCTCGAACTCAAAGCACAGGAACAGCCGATGTCACGGGAGAATCGAGACATGAAAGTACGCGTCCAAAATGCATTTCTGTGTCAACATCTTGAACGGGAGCCTGTGTAAGGCCCGGTTCAAAACTCACAGGTCCAAGATCGGCGGTAACCCACTGCCTTTCTTGGGTACAATGAAGTACGGGCTGTAGAAGCCGGTCTTTATATCGGCAGGAGGGACGCCGGATGAACTGAATCTCATAGCCGAGTCTGATGGTATGTATGAACCAGCTGGATGGTCTGAGGAGCGCTAGCCAGGCTCCCAGACACCCTGCCAGGGGGCCAAACGAGACCACAGACGTTTCCACCATGGGGCAGCGAGGTGGAAGGCAGGGACCCAACTTGGACAGCATAGCGGCCCGAAGTGGGGTCTGAGTGTGTGGTGCAACACTCATCTGACTGCACCAATCGGTAGGAGACGCGTGAGAAGGCATTCTCACTTTCTCGAGCCGCATCAGGCTGCCGGCTGGCAATGAAAGAGGGGGCTGAGGGTGGCAAGGCATAGTGTTGCACACCGCCAACCTCACCATCTTAGGACCCAGGAACCGAGAAAATAGTTTTTTTATTGAAACACAACAGGAACACAAACAGAACATAATTGAAGATTCTTCACCTGGCCCTCCTTCGGGGGAGGGGGTGATACGGTCACCATCTCCTGAAGAGCTACTTCCTCCATCCCTGGGTCGCCCGTCTCAGCTTGTACTTGCGCTTGCCACCTGGTTTGGCAGAGGCTGGGACGGGCTGGCCGAGCGGCAGTGGAGGTGGCGGCAGGAGGACGCCCTCGGCAACAAGCAGGCGGAGGATCTGCCGGGGCAGGATGTGTCAGATCTCTTCCCTCTGCTTCTGGGCAGCAGAGAACTGCGGGGCGATGTTCTCCACCGCATTGCCGAATAGCCCGGCCTGTGAAATGGGGAAGTCCAGGAACTAATACTTGTCGGTCTCCCTCGTGTCCGCCAGGTTCAGCCAGAGATGGCACTCCTGGACCACAAGTGTGGACATTGCCTGATCAATTGAATGTGTGGCAACCTTTGTCGCCTGGAGGGCATGGTCAGTTGCTGTACGGAGCTCACCCATGAGCTCACAGTCAGGGCTACCCTCGTGCATAACCATGAGTTCTTTGGCCTGATGGACCTGCAGGACCAGCAAGGAGGAAGCGCCTGTCCACATGCTCTGTAAGTCTTGCCCGTGAGAACGGACAATAACTTACAGGCCTTGGATGGGAGACGCGGATTACCCTCCAGGAAGTAGCGGTCGCAGGCACAGTTGCATTGTGACAGACCGCTCAACCGGAGGAATACCCATGTACCCTTTGGCCGAACCAAGAGTAGTGAGGGGGAGGAGGTACCAACTCTGTTTCTGGCAGAAAATTGTGTCGTTCACGACCTGGTAACCTCCTCAGCACAGCCGCCCAGAGATAACAATCGTCCAACCTTGAGGGTTCGGGACACGATCAGTTCCACTCAAGCCCGACTATCCTGGTGGCCCGGGAAAGCATAGCCATCAATTCTGGATCAGGCTTGGGTAATGCTACTCTCCCAGAAGAGGGCAGCGCAGATTCAAGCTCATCTTCTGATGCAACGATTGTCGTCTGGTCTGAAATGACTGGCCGGTCAGGAGAGGAGCTAGTGTGATCAATCGAAATCTCCACGACTTGCGGTGTTTGTGAGGAGTAAGGGACCCACGGGAATTGGGTACGGGGCGGTGAAGCCCTCACTGTTATCCTCAAGTCACCCTGGCTATTCGCCCAAGTAGCCCTTTTCTGGGGTTAACCAGAAGAGGAACTAGATCGAGGCATAGGTAAGGGGATCCCACCACGTTTAAGATATAGGAGTCTTGACCATTACACAGAGATTGTCATGTTCCCGTAGTGAGAACATGAGTCATCCACAAGCGCTGCTTCAGCATGCTGAATGCCCAGGCAAGTGATGCATTGTTCGTGATCATCAGCCTGCGCCAGGGAACGACCGCATCCAGAAATACATGGGTGATATGACATCTTGACAAAGACGGAGTCACACCCGTGTTTACTCTTTCAGGAATTAACTCACTCAGCTGTTATTAAAACAGCGATCTCTTTGAAGACACCCTCGACGCCAACACTGCTGGAGATGCTTCTTCCTGAAGAATGCTCGACACACTCGTTGAATTCAACACTCTCAGAGACTGCATGAAGAAGATCTGTTCAGCCCCGAAGTGAAAGAGAGACTGCATAAAGAAGATCTGTTCAGCCCCGAAGTGAAAGACAACTGGTGGTTGCATTTGCTTACTATTTATACCCGTGCTGCGGGGCGGAGTGCGAGATGCAAATCTCCCACATCAATGTGCATTGGCTCATTCTGTTTACACTTGAAGATGATTGGGGCGCTCTGACGCTATCTCAATACGTCGGTACGTTGAACGTGACCAACTGAAAGGGGACCCCTAATATTAAGACCTATGCTCCATTATAAGAACAGTTATAGTTATTTATATTATTTTTATAATCACTTATAAGTAATGCATTTGCTTTTTCAAAGTGCATGTTCATAATCCTAAACTAAACTTAATTAGTCAGTCATATGGTTCCATGAATGTACAGTATTTATAAAGTCGAGTCAAGTTAAGATCTGGATATGGCCAGGACCCGGCTGACTACGGTAAACCTTGGGATAAACAGAGAGACTAATATTAGTGTAGATGGCATTCTACTTATGATGTAACAAGTACATCAAGATGTTATGGGAAGTTTTCCCGGTTCCGGCTGACCTAATTTATGCAGCCAAATAATCCTTTTACATGACTTGAATTATAGAAATTGATAATGTAACCTGGCACGTGTATGCCAGGTTAAAGCAATGTGTTTTTAGTTTGTAGTGTATCTGCTTCCTGAACAATGCAAGGAAGACTGTTCCAGAGTTTTGGTGCTAAATAGGATCTACCGCCAGCAGTTGATTTTGATATTCTAAGTATTATCAACTGGCCAGAATTTTGAGATCACAATAGACTTGAAGGACTATAATGCGTTAAGAGCTCGCTCAAGTACTTGGGAGCTAAACAATTTAATGCTTTGTAAGTAATTAGCAAGATTTCAAAATGGATACAATGTTTAATAGGGAGCCAATGCAGTTTTGACAGAACCAGGCTAATAGGGTCATTCTTCCTGGTTCTAGTAAGAACTCTAGCTGCTGCGTTTTGGACCGACTGGAGTTTTTTTATTAAGTGTACAGGGCAACAACCCAGTAGAGCATTACAATAATCTAGCCTTGAGGTAATAAATGCATGAACTAACTTTTCCACATTTGTCATTGAGAGCAGGGCTTGAAATGGGGGGGTTACACAGGGGGTCGGAGCCTGGGGAGTGAATTTCGAAGGGA